CCAAATTCGACTTTATTCCTTCCCATTAGTCGAATTAAACATCTCGCTGTACAATTAATAATTAATAGATGCGAAAAGTCATAGTCACTTATTTAGGTTAAAATTGGTTAAGACTTAAGATTTCCGATTACCAATTCATTATAGAATCAGCTTTACTCATATTTACATGATTCGATGATGTCATCCACAAGAATATAGAACACACGCGTGAAAGCACGCGTTTAATATTTTAACGTCCGCAGGCGTTCAGTAAAGTCGAGTCAGTTAGGTCGGCGAACACCGAACCGACTGAACGGTTCATGTAGTTCGCACTGTTCGCAGTCAGCTGCAATCAGCTGACGAAGGAAGCAAACAGCAAACGCTTGTTATGTTACAGCACTTACGCAGTCAGCTGTACTTGACTCAACTTGACTCTCGCCGCAGCCTATTTGCGCCTATTTTTTTTTTCTTTTTCCACTGGAGACACGAAGAATTAATTTACATCAAAAAAATATCTTTCTGTTAACGATCGTAATGCGATCGTAAAGCGAAAAAATGCATGCATTGTTTATTAGTTTTCGAGTATGTACATACAATGGGTTTGAACCCAACCCAGTTAGGTTAGATTAATCAAAATTAAAAAATAAATTGTTCTGTTCCTGCACTAAATTATTCTAGAACTTTCTTTTTCGCTTTAAACAAACATCTATTTATATATATCTATTTCACTTTAAGTTCCAAAAGTGTACACAACAAGTGTAGTTCAGCCACAGAAAACAGATCTCGTGTTTGGATACTCGAAAGTATCGTACCTTTTAAGCCTGTTCTACAATGTGCTTTTTGTTTCCTTTTGTTATTTTTTACATCTTGTCTTTTTGCTTCTTATCCAGTTTTTTGTTTTATATCGCCTGAAATAAAACAAAAAGTTAACGAATTTTGAAAGAAACAAGAAATATTATTGATAAAACGGTTGAAAAAAAAAAGCAAAAGGTAAAAAACAAGGAACAGGAAACAAAGAACACATTGTAGAATAAGCTTTAACCTCGTCCAATCAGAAGTCAAAATAAAGAAGTCAAAGTATGTGACGTCATCGATCTAACCTGATTAGGTTAGGTTAGGTTAGGTTAAAACTTCAAACCCACTGCACTCGAAAACGTTAGAGATATAAAATGCGCGACGTATCAAATGTATATATCTATAATCTATATTACGCGACGCATTTTGAAGTCAGCTAATTCAAGTTAATGCGTCGTTGTTTCGCATTATTTCGCATCTTATTTATTCCTCAGAGACAACGATAATAATTAGAATCGCGCGATAATTACAATAGTAGATCGTATCGAGATCACGCTCGTGGTATAATTTCATGCTGGTATCTTCGCGTCTCCATAGAAAGAAAGAGCGTGAGAATCGGATTTTGTAAAAACTTGGTTTGCGGCGCGGACGGCGCGTCGTCATATCATTAATCACACGTACGAAACGATATAAGACGTTATACGATAAGAAGTTACGTTCGAAACAAGCCTAAAGGAGTAAAAATAGAAAAAAGAATGGACACATCGCGCCCATATATAGTACGTTGCACAAGTCGATAATTAGGGAGTGTCATTTAGCATTTTAGCGATTTTATCCCTTATACATCTATCTATGTATACTTTATGTCGCTGCGTTTAACGCACAGATATATATTTAATTTCTATATAACGGGTGAAAACTTTTCTTTGTTTATTAGTCTAGTTGAATATTATCAATACATATATATTTGCCCAGCAAGAATGGATTAAAATGGATTGAAACTTTTTTCTATCCGAATGCATATTTTAAATAGCGAATACTTTTTTTTTAATTGGATTTAATTGGATTCACTTGGATGCAATTAGATTGAAAAACTGCATTTTCTATTCAAAATTTTGACTGACAGTATTCACAATGTATGTACACAGAAAAAGTTAATATTATTTTTAGATTGAAAGGCATAGAGATATCCAATTCCTGCAATTCCTATAAATGAATAAAAGTGCATTCAGGATTGAAAAATATTCATTTTAACATTTTACATTTGTGAATTAATATGTCTAATAATCTGAATCCATTTCAATTCATTTCAATCCATTCTCGTTTGCTGGGTGCGTTATTTCGTAATTGTTTACCTGCATCAAACAATACACACACTCACACACACACTCACACACACACACTCACACACTCACTCACTCACTCGCTCACTCACACACACACACACACCCTCACACACCCTCACACACACACACACACACACACACACACACACACACCCACACCCACACCCACACCCACACACACATACAGAGAGAGAGAGAGAGAGAGAGAGAGAGAGAGAGAGAGAGAGAGAGAGAGAGAATTTTTGTTTCTCGATGACTTTAAATTATCTTTCCCTTCATTTTGCAATTCAGGGGACTGCTATAACAATCAGCCGATCAGGCAGAGAGGAAGAGACATGCAACGATACAAATTAAATAGAAAACAGCTGAAATGACATCAGGTGAATCTATTCGAATGGGAAAGTCGTACTTATCGCGAGTTGGAAAAATATTGAAAATTATATCAGCAAATCAGCCATCAAGTAAATGTAAAGAGTCACGAGAATGGTAGAAAATTATACGCAAAATAGAGTAACAATAATTAATCGCACGTAAAATGAAAGATTGTGCTCGCAAAATTCTTGACCGCGCTAATATAAATATAAATCGTCTCGGCGAAAAATAAAGTTAAAGAATTAATTACCTATATAATATTTTCCGTAAATCGATAATTTTTCATGTGAAAACGCATGTGGAAACGCAATCTGTTGTCTAAAAAGCGATCGCATCTCAATTTCAGTTTAATAAAATTTGATCAAACTTTTTTTATCTATGCCCCCCCCCCCCCCTCTCCATAAATCTGCAATTTAAAATAGCCGAAAATGATAAACTCTTTTCAGTAAAAATTTATAAAGATTTATAAAATACACAGAAAAAAAAACACACAGCTGAAAATACTGATTCAGCAAATCTACAGTCATAATATATAGACAGTTAATTTTTTATGTTAAAGTAGCAAAGTTGATAGCTGAATAATATTAGCGATTTGTTAAATCATCAAATCTTCTTAATTATAGATGTTGAATTCGCGCAGTAAGTTACAGGTTTTGCTGTACCAATTAATTTTTTTTCTGTGTAGAGACATCTGATAATTGTGCGTAACATTAGTCTTTTGCAATAATTATCGAATAAAGATCGACCGAAATCTCGAAAAAGTTTTCAAAATCTCTCTCTCTCTCTCTCTCTCTCTCTCTCTCTCTATATATAT